CAGGTTTTAAAGGAAAATCTGAAAAATGTGCCTCATTTTGAAGGCTGAGCCTGTCTGCAGGGTCACATCTCATCTCCCTTCTGCTGGCTTGGGTCTGGACACAATTTTTTGCCCCTGTGTGGAGGACAGTGACCTCAGGGAGGGGGTTTCACCCTGGTTTCAGAGCTCCTTCTCCTCACACCTCATGGCTGGGGAATGCCCTCCCATGCTGAACCACTCTGGGGACTGCCACCAGCACCTTTAGAGCCATGACCTGCAGAAATAATTCATTTCCCTCCACAGAGCCACTAAAGAATTTTCCTCTGTAACAGCAGGCTGCAAGCACAGCCCTAAGAAAGGAATAAAACCTGCCCTGGGAAATCAATCCCTGACACAAGCAGCCTTTGCTCAGCCTCCATCCCTCACTGAGCTCTTGCCTTTATTTAACAACACCAACACCAACACCTTATTGTCATTTTACACGGCCAGCAATTAAAACCATCCCACTTCCCCTACCTGGAGGACTTGGGTGTAGCCATACGTTGCAGCAAGGTGTAAAGCTGACTGCCCCTTGTTGTCCACGGCGTTGACATCTGCTCCTGCCTGGATGAGGTCGTGGACGATGGCTGCGTGCCTGGCAGTGACAGCCACCAGCAGGGGAGTCTGCAACAGCAGCACAGACAGCTGTGAGAGCTCAGACTAACTCCAGAGCCCGGCAGGGATGCCTTGGAATGGCTCCCTAAAACAGAGGCTAGGCAAGATTAACAGGATAAAAGTGGGTATTTATTAAAGCCCTTCAATAGGAACACCTTGGGCGGTCAAAGCCTTCCAGAGGCTACACCCAAGATGGTCATGAGTTTTTCAGACAATTATAAGTTTGGTCATATCAGGGGTTAATACTCCAATTAAAGCTTTAGGTAATGAAGTAATTTACCCCCAGTTTGCTCCCCCCAAACTCACTTTTGTTTATCCTTTTTAGGGACTAAGACAGTGAGGTGTTCTTGAGTTCCAGGCCTACAGAGGAATTTTGTCTGAATAAAATAGGAGAACAATAACTGACAGGCTATGGAGCTTCAGATTTATACACTAAAGAATTGCAGGATTATAAATATATGAAAAATATAAAAGCTAAAATCCTAAGGCAGCAGCAGCAGCCGCTGGTGTAAAACAAGGAGTGGGAAAGTGCTGGCTGAGTGCTGGCTGAAATGCCAAGGATTGTGGTGCCAGGAATGAGCCCAGCTCACAGGATGCTTTGGAATCCCACGTGAGATGGGGATTTCCAGCTCTCGCTGGACTCCCTCTGGTGTTCTTCAGCCCTGAATTTGATGGCAACCCAAACCCAGCATTTTTTAAAGCCGGATTTCATCAGGTACACAACAAGTCAGTTGGCTGTAAACCCTTCAGCCTCGGAGACTGATGCCAACACACAAATATTTTACTGGACCAGCGTTTTCTCACATCACTCATGGGCTGAAAAAAGAACGGCCTCATTCTCACCCCACCCGATTTATGGCCACGCCACTGAATTTTACAATCCTGCCACTGAATTTTACAATCCTGCCACTGAATTTTACAATCCTACCCCCGGGTGAGGCCCGTCAAGCCTTCCTTGCAGGAGCAGAGGGGCAGAGCTGGATTTTCAGGGCACCAAGACTGTTCCCATCCCAAAGCCTGCTGTCTGCAGGACAAAGTGGCCTCTTTTTACCTTTCCTCTGTGCTCCTTGGCATCGAGTCTCCTCAGGGCTCTCATGCGCTCTGCGGCTGCCAGCGTGTGGGCCCGCAGGCCTTTAGCTGCATAAATATGCAGAATTCTAAGACAGCAAATAAATAAAGACACCCATCACTGATGGACCGTGGACCGCGCTGGGAGCAAACAGTTTTACAGGGTAGCACTGCCACTTTTGGGTTTTTACAGCCAGAATTCCACAAATCCCTGCCATGTGCCCCAAAAATTCCCGTTTTCATGGGAAGGGCTTTGTACCTCCAGCAGCTGCAGTGTCCAAGAGCCTTCAGAACTCCTGAGCTTTGCCTGCTGCCTCCTTCCTACCTCCTGGCAGCTGAGATTCACCACTGGGAGGTGTCAAAGTCCTCCACCATTCCCAGTTTGGGGAATTGGATGTATAAATCACTTTTTGGGGTGATACAGCTTTGGATGTGTGGGTGAAACCTCATCATCCTGGGTAACAACCTCTCCCTAATTGATGTGTTTGTAATATATCAACATGTTAAACCCCCTAATTGATATATTTGTAATATATAAACCTGTTAAACCCCCTAATTGATGTATTTGTAATATATCAACATGCTAAACTCCCTAATTGAAGTATTTGTAATATATCAACGTGCTAAACCCCCTAACTGAAGTATTTGTAATATATCAACATGTTAAAGCCCCTAATTGATGTATTTGTAATATATCAACAGGTTAAACCCCCTAATTGATGTATTTGTAATATATCAACATGTTAAAGCCCCTAATTGATGTATTTGTAATATATCAACATGTTAAACCCCCTAATTGATGTATTTGTAATATATCAACCTGGTAAACTCTAATTTCTATCAAAATTCCTGGTGAGAGGGACACAGTCCTCATATTTTACACCGGACAAAGAGTTGGCACAGCCCGTGGGAGTGGCTGGTGGCCCTCAGTGGTGGGGAGAACAATTCTCTCCTTCACTTTGGTCATCTGGCTCTGGCTGGAGCCACTTCCATTCCCCCAGGTCCTACCTGAAGGAAATTCCAACCCTCTAAAACAGGAGGAGCCTACCCCACGCACAGTCACCCCAACCCCTGGCTTCATTCTGCTCCAGACAGAAATATGTGATGCTTTTCAGGCAGAAGGTGCTGGGCAGTTGTTCTCTCCTCAGGTAGTTTTGTACACACCTCGCAATCTCAGGAGGTGGAAATACAATTTTCTGGCTAATCTGATTTTCAGTCGAGCTCAGCATTAGCTGTGGCTGCACACCCACACATCCCCAAGGGTGCCAGGAAAGGATAAAAGTGATTGAAGCTGAACTGCAGGAGCAAGGACTGCTGCAGGAAATGCCTCCAGGCCACAACTGGATCAAGGAATTCCTTCTTAGTCTGCTTAATGTGTAAAATTAGGACAAAGTCTGACAGCTAATCTCTGATACTAGCCTGTACATATATTATTGAACTAATTGCTAAACCAATGCTTGTGGATAGGAAATAAAACACTCTAGGCATAGTAAAGTTACTGTAGATCTTTATTGAAAAAAAAAATTGTCTTTTTTTTCTAACCAGAACAACCCAGAAAGAAATGATGAAACAGTTTCATCTTTGTTTTAAGTTCACACACAGAATTTACATACATTGGAGTGAAAGGAATTGAAAAGCAATCAGAGCAACCACAGGCTTGATTCACAACTGCTTTATCCCAGTTTTACCTAGGGAATATCTCTGAATGTCACAAAACTGGAGGAAGCAGTGGTGAATTAAGCTCCTTTGAATTAATTTCTTTGCTGGGTTTTTCTGCAAATATAAGCCACTAATTTCAATGCAAACCTCAACTACTGCTCTTTTCCAGCAACTTTATGATCACTTACATGATCTAGTGCTCGTGTCTTCCACGTTTGTCAATATTCAATAAAAATACTCTTGGAAAGTCTTTAAGACTTTCAACCTGGGTTTTTAAACCTCACCCAGGCACGAACTCTAAGGCCAGTTGAAATATTGCCTGGGTGGCAGCTGGACTCCAGGTAATAAAGAGTACAAGAAGTTATTTTGCAGTTAGTCTTGCAAATAATAAAACCATCTAACGATCCTGGGCTTTAGAAAGCAGAAAAACCCAGAGAAATTGTGTTCACCAGCCAAGAGCCTCTTGTTTGTCAAGAAATCAATAAGCAGGGTTCGAAGGAGATGTATCTCTTTAAATATATCAATATATTTGCCTGTGCCATGGCACTCCTGAGCCTCAACCAAAATATTTACACTCGCATTGGAGGGAAAAGTGAAGCTCCTCATTCTCCAGGAAAGGAAATCAGAAAGCCATAAAGGAATCGTGTGCACCTCTGGGCCTGGGGAGCTTTCCAAGGAGAGGTCACTAAAGTTCCCTGGCTCAGCACATCACACTCAAACGCTACAGGAAAGAGAAAATACTGCCAGGTAACAGTAATGCCATGGAGTCCTTGCTGGGCTGCAGTCCAGCTTCTGGAAAATCCCTGTTTTCTCAATGATCTCCTGATCTAGGGCCGTGAATTGCATTCCTGACAGACAAAACTCCCAGAGATTTCAGTGGGATGGGGTCAGTCACTGGCAGCATTACCAGCCAGCCACTAAATCAGCCCCACACCTCATATCTGGATATTTCAGAGCTCCAAACCCCTCTGCAGCTGAAAGAACACGACCCCAACCCTCTGCTCCACACCTGCAGGGGCAGACAAGGGCAAAGCTTTCAGGTACACCTTGGTGTGAATTCCAAACAGGGATCTCTGACTGCTCTGGTGTTTAGCTCAGCTTTATTTTCACACTACTGCACCTACCTGCACCAGCAGAACGAAGCTATGCTTTATGTTTTCCTGATTTCCAAAGGAATAGTAAAATTTAGGAGAGAAAAATGTCAATTTAGCCCCCCACAATGTTTTCTAGTGGCCTAAATCTGGTGAGAGTTCCTTCCTGGACAGCTCAAAGACACACAGACAATGCATTTACACAAAAGCAACCCTATTGAACCGGGTTTGGCAATATTTAGAAACAATTGTACCCTCACCAAATGCTACAGCTGGCTGTGGCTACACTGGAATCTGTCATTTTGAGGCCGTGAGGGTGAAAATCACCTTGTGCTGGTGCTGAGCACAAGCGTGCAGCATCCAAACCTGCCCGGGAGAGGCAGCAGGAGCTGGAACAGCAGAGGAATCTTGTGCTGGGCGCCAGGACAAAGCAAATTTCCCTCACCGCACAAATCACGGCGCGCTAAAATTCCCACCCCAACCCCGCCTGCTTCTCCAAAACCCACGGAGCTGCCGGGTGGAGCACTGAGCAGCTGAGGATGTGCCAACCTAAAGCCCTTCGACAGAGAGAGCGTGGCTCAACACGTACGTATCATTGTCTTCATCTTCCAGCAGCAGCCTCTCGATGGGCAGGGCGCCGATGGCTCGCCGGGCATCCTCCAGCTCCTGCGGGGCTGGCTCGGGCATGGAGATGGGCACGGGCACCAGCTGGGGCCCGGGGAAGGAGGAGGAGGCTGCAGGGTACTGCAGGGTGGAGGCTGGCAGGGCAGACAGGGGCTGTGCCCACGGGAAGTAGGTCAGGGGCGGCTGCTGCTCCGTCACCTCCAGCGGTGGCACCACGGCCGGTGTGCTGCTGCGGGGCTGGGGAAGGGCACAGAGAGACAGCAAAGTGAGACAAGCGGCGTGGTGTTGAGGCACAGTGGAGATTTTCCTTTTTGGTTGAGGTGAAATGTGCATCTTTGAGTTAAGATTTGAGTAGCTTGCAAAATATAGCTGTTTGGTCTGACTGCCTTGCAGAAATGTATGCTTGGAGAAACTGCTTCAGCAGAAGGGCAAGAGATAAGGGGGGCAGACAGAGAGAGCAGGGAGAAATGACCCAGGAGTTCTTTCTGATAAAGAAAAAATTAGTGGCAAATGTCACCAAAATCAGGAGAATGAATATGTATGGACCTATTGTGAAATTGCATGTATATGTATTTGAGAGGGAGATAAAAAAGGATCTGGAGTTCCCAGAGGCATACATGTCATTCTAAGGGGAATGATTCCCACATGTGTCCAGTGCTGTAATAAACACCCCAGCTTTACAACTTTCACAAAAGTTGTGGAGTTTGTTTGCTTCCACAAATCAGTATTCACATATTTCTCTGAACAGAGAGACATAATTCCCTCTCCCAGGATTTCTCCTGGGAAAGGCAGTGAGGAAGCTCAGAGAAAGAAGAGAAAACAATTCTTATCTCTATTTGCTGCTCCTGTTGTTTGGCACACGTGGAATGTGTTATGGAGATTGGTCACCGAAAGGGATTTGTTAATTGGACTCTGGTTGGTTTGGATTGATTGACCAATTAGGTCAAAGCTGTGTCATGACTGTCTGAAAGGGTCACGGGTTTTTCTTTAGTATAGTTTTCGTATAGTCTAGTATTAGTATGGTATTAGTATGGTATTAGTATGGTATTAGTATGGTATTAGTATGGTATTAGTATAGTATAGCTTAATAAAGCAATTGTTCAGCCTTCTGAAATCATTGGAGTCACTACACGTTATTCCCACACTGGGGTCGTTCAGGAGACAATTAAATGCTGGGGCAGGGGGAGGATGCAGCACAGGATGGGGATGCTCATCCCACTTCTGACATGCCCCATCCTTCCCCTCCAGGTGCTGACGGTGACACTTTTCCTGTGCCCAAGTCATGCCCGCCTCAGGCTCCCTCCAGCTTTCTGTCCCCATCCCTGTGAGCCTGTCACAGCCTGTGCTGGCAGCTGCCCTCTGCACAGCCCCAACTTTGCTGCCACCAAGGCTGAAGGCCCCTCGTGTGGCCTCTGGAACAGCCCAGGCAGAGCCACATCCCCAAGCCAGCCCACGGCCCAGCACCAGGGGCCAGCAGGACACAGAAATGGCCTTGGGGGTTGGCTGGGTCTGCCTGAGCAGCCAAACTGCGCCAGGGGAAGGAAAACCAACTCCTGAGGTCCACTGGAACAGAGCTCCCTGTTCCCCTCTAAAGGGAAGCACATCATCTTGTGTCAGCCAAGCGGATTTGGTCTGGCCTGAAGCCAAATATTTTGCTATCTTTATGTATTTTGACCTTGCTGCTTTATCCTTTAAATTTATTGCCAAGTCATCCTTGCTGCCTCACCTGATCAATATGTTTCCTGGAACCCCACTGACTTTTTTTTTAAATTTTAAACTTGGAAATAAAGAGTGAAAATCCCTGCTCAGTCTGGAAGAGTGAAGACAGCTGGGGAAAAGGTTGTGAATGTTGCCTGATTCCAGTACAACCACAACTTTTTGCCCTGCTCAAACCATATTTGTCCTGGGAACTGCATGGCACGGATGCAAAGACACGCAACATTACAATAATTAAATAAATTAGCCTAACTCCACTCCGCAGCTCTTGCTAGAAGGTGGGAATTAACATCATTTCCAGCTTGGTGCTTTTGACTTACTGCAAAATTGGTGATGAGAGGCTGGGAAGTGTAAGTGAGGACTGAGGAGGGTCCCACCAGGGTGTAGCTGGGACACACGGGCTGGACGTACATATCTGCTGTGTAGGGACAGCTGCCAGCCTCGTGGGACACGTAGTCAGGGTAGGGGCTCCACTGAGCCAGGGGCTGCAGGGGGGTGCCAGGGGGCTGGGGGATCCATCCAGAGGCCAGAGCTCCTTCCTCTGGGCCGGGCAGAGCAGGGGCAGCAGCGTCCATGTCAATGCAAGGCTGGCCTGGAAAATAGGACAGGATTAAAGCCCAGCTCAGCACAGTCTTCCCTGGAGGGTCCCGGAGGGTCAGGGATATTTACCCATGGGTGAGTAGGAAGGGACTGGCTGATGGGGCAGAACAACCTGGAAGAGAGAAGGAAAAATAAAAAATCAGAGGTGAAGCCCATCAGCATTGAATTCAATCCCTTAGAGAAGCACAGAGCACAGCAGGCATTAGCAGTGCCAGGGTCTGAACTCCCCCACCCCACAAAGGGCCAGAAGAGCTGGACCTGACAGCCAGGACACACCACCCCAAACACCCACAATGTCCCCTCAGCCCAAGGGGACCTTAAAGTGGGTTTAAATCCCTTGTATAGAGAGAATTCTCCTCCAGAGAGGAGCCAGCCAAGCTGCTGCCTGCTGGGAGGGCAAATTCAGGTTGAAAAGAAGCAGCAAAGAGCCAGGGATGCTCGGGGTGGTCTCTCTCAGGCTCCTGAACAAGCTGCCTCCCTCCAAGGCACTTTCAGTCCCGAGCAATCAGCTCCTGCCAAGTGCAAAGCACTTCCCCTTTCCATTAAGGGGTGGAAAGTGCTCAGCTCACTAAAAGCACCCCAGCTAAGGAGAATTAATGGCACTGCCAGGTAACACCAGGCTGCAGGGCCTTTGAAATGCTTTGGAGATGCAAAGATTTTCTTTCATTGGCACAGGAGCGCTGGGGCTGGGCAAGCTCTGAGCTCCTGAGGGAGAATTTTCCTCCTGCTTGCTTTTCCCCTACCGTTGTAGCTGCAGTTGCACTGGAATTCTGGACATTCCCCCTTTTCCTCTTCAGCAGCTCCTTCACGGGCTCCTTCACTCGGACACCTTGGTAAGGGCGAGGCTGGGGCTGCTCTGGGGCAGAAGCTGAGGGGGAAAAGAAGAAATAAAAAATTTATGTAACATTTATTTTCCTCTCAGGGACTCCAAATCCCCACAGCAGCCTGGTGGCTGGAGCAGGAACACATTTATTTTATCCTTCCTTTCCTTTGTGTCCCTCAGTGCCTGCAGAGCAGCTTCACACACTCCCAAAAGGAAAATCAGACCAAATATACCCAAAAGGTGACACACCAGAATTGTTGGCCAGGCAGGGACATAAAAAAGCAGAGATTAGATATTTAAAATAAATATATTCACTGTTTAGGTAGAAGGTATAAAAACAACCCAAATCAGGAAAACACCCTCACTTGAAAAAACATTTTAACACCATTAGTTGAACTTAAGTATCTCATTTTGAGATCAGGCAGGTGCTGAAGTCCCAACCTAGACCAGAGTATTTCAGTTCTGAAGGAATTTTTCTCATAGCCTGGCCAGGAGGTTGATAAACAGGAGACAACACATCACAGATCTCACACCCAAAAACCTCCCAGCTCCCCCCCACAAATTCTGCTCCATTTTGAAGAATTAAGTTTGCAGGCAGCTCCAAAGGCCTCTCCCAAAGCCATGTGAGCAGAGCAAGCAGGGGAAGCACGTTTCTGCCAGAGCCAGAATTAACAACTCATATTTTACTGGAGTGTTTAAGGGAATTGATAGCAGAAGGAAACCAGGGGATATCAAAGGCTGGCGTTTGCAAAGGCACTGATAGCAGATGCCTGCCCCTTCTACTGCACTTTGATGTGCAAATACAGGAATTGATAAGTTTTCCATTTTTAACGATTGGGGCTGGCCTTTGCTTTTGAGGTACAGGTGGCTGTCCAGCTCCAATCTGGATTTTAAACTATTATTCCACCCCCGGAGCATTTATTTGGATTCATATTCTACAAGAATGAATAACTTCACCTCAGATATCTCTCCCAGCCACATTTAATTCTGTGCACACTGAGATGTTTCTGTTGCACCTTCCTGGGAGGAGAAAAATGGAGCTCTAAATACAGAGATCATAAATCCATCACAAAAATTACTTAACGGAATAAATGTTTCTGCTCTGATTTCTTTTCAAAAATACTTTTTTCCCTTCACCTTGGCTCTTCTGCTAACTCATGATACATAATGTAATTATGAAATCTTGATTGGCCACAATAAATCCTTTTAGGACCAGACAGAACTCCTTTTGTGCACTGAACTGTTGCCTTTGTTATGCACATTAAGGAAATATTTCACTTTTAATCAGTAGTTGAAGCAAAGATGATTTCCCAGCCTTTGCCTGATCTACCTTTGCTTGCTGTGGACATCCTTTGTAGCTCTTTAAATCAGGTTTCTTGCATTCCAGTGAATCCTTTGGTTTTCAAAATGAAAATTTCAAAGAGAATAAAGGTTCTTTAAGCTCCATACAAATATGCACAAGGGTTTTTAATACAATTCACGTTTTGCTTTTTCAATTTAACTGGTATTCATTTATGTGAGTGCAAATAATAAAGAGTTCTGGTGTTCTTGGTGCTGCGTGAGAACATCAGATCCACAAATCTGAGCTCTGCCAGAGCTGCTGGAGTGGCAGAAATTAATATTTTGGGGAGTTTCTCATCCCCAACTCATAAAGGGCCTCCTTGCAGAATTAGGGTGGGGAAGGATGGTGGTTTCTGGCTCCAGGTTTGGGGGATGGGAAAGAAGAAATTTACTGTAAAAGCTGACAAATATACCTATTCAGAGTTTCCGGTGTAAGTAAGCAGAGCAACCAAAAAAGAAAAAAAAATATAAAGAGAAAAAAAAATTTAAAAAACCAAAGTCTGCAGATCATATTTCGGTTCCCCCAAGCTGACCTCCAGAAATAAAAATAATGTGAGCACAGCTGCTTTTCCACTGCTCAGGGGCCTGTGGGGTCTGAGCATCACAGACAGACCACAGCAAAATGGCTTTGGGGCTTCGGGGTGCAATTCCTCATCGAGCTAAAGACACATGGCCATTTACAAATATCAGCATTTGGAGGAATAATGATACAAATATCAGCATTCGGAGACAATTAAAATATCTTTGTAAAGGAAGAACCTGGATTTAGTCATCCTTATATAAAGGTTTTAACAAGCTACGGAGCTGTCTTGGAACAAAATTCCATTTTATTTTCATTTCAGTCACGAGATCCCAAGTTCCATTTAATATACATAAAGGTTTTAACAAACTATGAAGCTGTCTTGGACCAGGATTCTGTTTTATTTTAATTTTAGTCATTGAGAGCCCAAGTTCCATTCAATAAAATGGATCTAAAGGAGATAAAGGAATAGCAGCAGTGTCCTGGCTTGTCTCCTGCCATTCCAGGCCCACAGAACACCCACATGCTGCAGGCACATTTTGGTTTGCACCTGCTCTGTGAAGCTGGGGCAGTTTGAGACATCTCCAGTGGAGGAAGAAGAGAAGGAATCCAAATCCAACCACTTTGCAATGGTTACCACATCTCACTTGGGCCCATTTCAGAGCTTTGGCCGGGCTGCCTCCCCAGCCCTGGCGTGTGCTCAGGCCCAGGCTCCCTCCATCAATGTTATCACTTGAAGTATTTGCTAAAAGCCCACAAAAGCCTTGAAGAATTGTGAGCAACCTTTAAAAGCTGCTGCTGAACACCAGAGCTGCTGGAAAGGCACCAAATGGCTCAAAACATCAAGTGACAGCAGCAGGGAGATGTTGGATCCCAGACCACGCTGCAGCTCAGCCTGCAAGCATCCAAACTGCCCAAAAAAGTTCCAGGGATCTGCCACCCTCAGCTTATGCAGATACAGACTGCATAAATACCTCAAAAATATTGATCTGTATCACCGAAGGGGTACTGGGGACAGACAAAGGTCAGAGAGAGGCTCCATCAGCAGAAGGCATGAAAAGCACTTTATTTAGAAATCTACAGTTCTTATAGAAATGATGGTGGACCTCAGACCTGGTTGCCCTTTAGGAATCTTCTCTCACCTGTTGGTGAGAGTTGGTGTTGGTGAACTATGAATGGCACACTCTGGAGAATCATATCTATAAAGAACAGTTACAGAATAAGGGATAATAATTGTTTGAATTCTTTCTCTGAGCTTTCTCAGGAAAACCCTGGGAGAACTGTCTCCCTCTGTTCAGAGGATATGTGATTACCACAGATCTGAGCCAAAGGCCAGGCAGGGAAACCACGCCAAGACATCACCAAAAATCCAAGCTCTGTCCTCCCCTACATTTTGGTTTAACCACGGCAGAAACAGGAGGAGCAGCTGCGGGAAGGGTGCGGGCAGCGAAGCGCGGCGGGTTCCAGATCACTGAGCTTCCCCTCAGCGCTGCCCCTCTCGCACTCACACACACACAGAGGAGCTGCAGCTCGCTCTCAGCCCCCCAGCCGAGGCACAGCAGCTTCCCAGCAGGCAGATTTCACTCTGGAACATCCCGCTGGTCCTGCCCCAGCCCTGCCCGCAGCAGCATCCCGCTGTGACGCCCGACGGATGCAGGAGGAATGGTGTGCAAACTCCGTGATATCAGAAGGTTAATTAATGATTTTATCACACTATATTGTACTACAACTATATTACACTAACAAGAACTGTCAGTCACTAACTCGCTAGCAAACCCGTGACTCCTGCCCAAGGATCCTGGCACACACACACACACACACGGATCCAACTGGTCCATGAATCCAAAACCATCACCAAACCCAACCAAGGAATCACCTCGGGTAAACAATCTCCAGAGCACTCCACACGGGCACAAACACAGCAGTGGCAAAGGAGAGAAGAATTGTTTTGATCATTCTTTCTCTGCTTCTCTCACAGCCTTTCTCAGGAGAACCCTAAGAAAGCTAAATTTCTGTTCATGTGAACACCACACCACTGCTCCCTCTCACAGATTTCTGTGCTCACAGCCACGTAATAAAATTATCAATTGATCAGTGTTAACTGTGCAAATAGTTTTCCCTTTTTTTTTTTACCTCCTTTCATTCTCCAGTGTAATAAATAATTGAAAAGAAGCACAATAGTTTCTCTTGTTTGCAGTAACACCGAAAAGCAATCGCTGACTGCAAATAACAAGAAAAATTTAGATTTCAATTAGCAAAGCCCTGAGTTAATGGCTTGGATATTGGAGACCAAATCACATTTTTATCAGACACAGTGAACTTTGGCTAATAAAAAGAAGAAAGAGGCTTCGTTTCATAGGCTTGTATGCTTTAGAGTCAAATCAAAACCTTTTTACATCCATGCCCATGGCAAGGGACTCAACATTGGTCATGATCCTGGCTAATTGCAGACTTTCCCTCAAAAGACCCAGGGTGAACTTTACCTCTGCTTTGTGGCCAGTCCAGGGCAGGGGAGTAAAGAAAATGCATTTAATTGCCCCAAAATCCCAGATAGTGACATGACAGGGAGTCACTCAGAAATCTTCATTTCCATCCCAGTCCCTCAGGTTATATCCTGCTTTTAATTAATATTTTAATTGATCTAACGAACAGTTAAAGGTGAAACACTGACACGACCCACCTGTAACTCCAGCCCCCGAACCAAAAATCCAGTTATTTCTGCCAGGATCCATCTGAACCAGTTGTGTTGGTGTCCACAGGCTGGTGAGCACCAGGTCCCTGGCACCTGACCCAAATTCATTAATACCCACCTGACTGATAATTCTCTGGCTGGTCCTGAGAGTGAATAACCTCATCAGTGCCAAGTAAATCATGAAACAATTCAGAAAATGTTTGTCTGAGTTCCATTTGGCCATTCCTTGCTTCATTATCTTTCCAGTCCCAAAGGATACATCCCAAAGCCCCAGGTTTGCACATCCATTTGAAGGGCTGGACATGCAGCTTCTTGTGCATTTGAGACATCCCAAATTTCCCCTGAAGTTACAGAGAGCACAAGGAAAATTGGGCTAGAGAGGATTAATACAATTTACTTTTTCATTTTAATTGGAATTAATTTATTTGAGTGGAAATACTAAAGAGTTCTGGTGCTACTTGAAAACATCAACTCCACAAACATGAGCTCTGCCAGAGCTGCTGGAGTGGCAGAAATTAATATTTTGGGGAGTTTCTCATCCCCAACTCATCATTTATCCTGTTCAACGCACTGTGGGTGGGGAATTCAATGAAGATTTTTGCCAATGCAAGGCACCCACCCAACATCAGGGCAGAGAATCTGATTTATAACCAGCCCAGCTCGGAGCAGGGGCAAAAAAGGCTGAGTGATGGTTGATTGCTCAGCACAAGGAAATGAACTCAGGAGGGTCCTGGGCATAATTCAGCAGCCTCAATATTTCACCTCTCAGAATCCTGTTTGGCCAGATCTCCTACACTGCATCATAACCACCAAAGTCAGTGAAATATCCATTTGACAGAAGAATATTTTAGGTTTATGCCCAATATCTTCATTTTCAGGTGTTGGAAGATTTTGCAGGAATCAAAGTAGCCCTAGATTCAGGCAAATCTGTGTGCCCCATGCTGTTCTTGAGGAATGCTTTGGATAGCTGTCCTTTAAAACAATTTCCTTCACACCTGAAAGGATCTAAATGAGTGGAGATCACTGTGCAGAGCCTGCATTTTGCTCCCACACAAGGAAGGTATTGCAGATGAGCAAATACAGAGTGGATTTTAGATTTTTCCACTTGGATAGAAACCAAAATCAAGGGGAGACACAAAATGCTGGCTAATCCCTGCTGCTCTGATTATTCTTATTAAAAAACCTAAAAACTTTCAAGTGCCAAATGAGAGTTGGATGCCTTGGCCTTGTAGTGGTGAGGGCCACTAAAAATTTTCTATTTCAGAAGAAGAGGAGCCCTGGTGCAAAGGGGAAGCTGAGATAGACAGAAAGTGTCTTTAACCTTAAGTCTCACCCTAATTCCTCCCAGCCCATAATACTCTTTCCATTTTAGTAATGCAAGCTTTCCATTTAATTGCTGCTGTGGTCATTCGTAGAGTTTGACACCTGCTTTGCAAAGCATGGATGGGCTCAGCTTTCGTGCTATCCCTCTTTCCTGGTGGGGTTTTACCAAAATTAGCACTCACAAGGTGCAGAATGCTGCAGTTTCACCTCTCAGTCTCATTAGCTGATACTTTCAGGGTGGCTCTGTGCAGCCCCACATCTGTTATGGGCAGGAAAGAATTTTTTTTATTCACTTTAAAGGGGTTTGGGAAGGGATTTTGCAGAGGTGTGAATTCACATCTCTCCGTGGTAAAGGGAATCTGAGCAGCTCAATCTCTGCCAGTGACTGCAACAGGAAAAAAAAAATTGGACACAGGCAAAAACAGCACCTAAATAGGAGATTCCTGAAGAATTAGAATTAATTAGGCTGGAAAAGACCTTTGAGATCATCAAGCCCAAGCTGCTTCCACGCTTTGCAGAACACAAACCATTTGTATGGACGGAACATCCGGGTGGGTTTCAAAAATTCACTACGGAGGTCACCACAAAAGCAAACCAAGAGGAAAAAGCTGGTGCTGCCCATGAATTCCCCATCCCTGAGGGGCTGCTGGGGCTGCTCCTGCTCAGCAGAATCCTGGGGAGCCCCGACCAGTCACTTCTCCTGGGCCGTGGGAGGGGAGGCTTTCGGGCTGAGCCGCGCTCGGCGCTGTGAGCGGAAGCCCAGGGCCCCAGTCCTGCAGGGGAGTCACTGTGCCGTGACCTGGGGAACATTCCCAGCCTGCAGGGCCAGCCTGGCCAGCCTCCCTGCCCAGAAAAGTGGCCCAGCTTGCCTCGTGGCCCTGCAGAAATGTCCCCTGAAGGAGCACAAAGCGCCCTGAGAATGCGCTCAGGTGAGGTCACCTGCTGCTTCAGGGAGTTCTTGTGTCACTTCTGGGTTTCCAGAGATTCACAGAATGTTCTGAGCTGGGAAGGACCCTCCAGGATCACCCACTCTGAAGTGAGTGGCCCACACAGGGATTGAACCCAAAATCTTGGTGCTGGCAGCCCCAGGTGAGCCAAACCTCAGGGTTTCAGTTTGAAAAGTTCACCCAGGTCACCTGAGCTGCCCCTGCATCGAGTTCTGCTCCAGAGCAAGGTGGGGACATCCGTGGGGTCACAGCTGGCCTGGAGCAGGGGGTGCAGAAACGCGAGCTCCCGGCTGGTGACACTGACAGGGAGCAGAGGTGACACCAAGGGGACAGGCAGAGCTGCTGGGAGCTGCAGCTTCCCCTGAAACCTGGGTACCTGCCCCGAGCTCAGCAGGGCTCTCCCCTCCTGCCTCCTTCAAAGCCAGCACGTGCAGTGCCTTGCAAAAGCAGCAGCATTAATCAGATTTCCAGCAGCTCCCTGCTGGAAAAGGGAATTCTGACAAAACTACAAAAGGAGGGAGATCCAAGCATGAGCAAGCTCAGGGGACAATGGCCAGGAGTTGTCTACAAATTATCATCAGGGAATGACGGACATAATTTGACTTGTAATTCCTGCAAGTGTCAAAGGAAAAAAGCAAAATAAAACCAGCATTTCCCAGTTAGGAACAACAGTTCCCAATTTCCTCCTACCCAAAGCATTGCTGTTAGCATTGCTTTGTCACTGCAGGAATCAAAAAAGAACCCCAAAAAAACCCCAAACATTCAGGGACTTCTGAGATGGAAGATTAGAACCAGGATTTGGATGTAATCATCTTGCAGTTTTTCCCACGTCTTCTCCTGAAAACTGCTCAAGGTGAAGGGGGAAATACAAACCAAACTTCCCAAATACACATTTGAGCTTCCAAAATATTCAGCTGAAAAGAAAGAAGGCAGGAAAAAAAAAAAAAACAACAGAGGAAACGGATTTCAAAGCTCACAAAGGCACATGGTTGGTTTACTACACGCAGCAGAACAACCTACAAGCTGAGATAAAACATGAGTAATGTCAGATAAGTTGCTGGCGAGGGTTTAAGAAATTAATTTTTCCACTCAGGTGTGTTGTACCATTCTGTGTTAATGGAACAGTAGGGTGAGAGGCAAAGGGTGGCAGCACGGGTGCCAAAATGAGCATCCCCTACTGATGACAAGTGAGATGTGGTGGTGATAAGAGTGAGAATGAAAACCTTGCAAGAAGCAAACACCTACCTGGAGCAGGATCAGTAAACTACTCCAGCAAAGGTGGGCCCAGAGGAGTGAAATTATCTTGAAAACAAGAAAACTGATTTCCTGTAAAGTCATAACTGTATTGCCCTCAACTGCTTTGTTCCTTATCTTTTTTTAATTAGCTGAAAGAAGTACATATCAAAAAAAAAAAAAAAAAAAGGCACAGAAATAAGATTTCTCACAGGTTTCACTTTTCAAAAGGAAAATTTTCTGCTACGTAACCACCGTAACCTTTGATATAATACCTGCATCCTGTTATTGTTTTTATGAATCATAGTCTTCCACTTGATTCATAGTGATGAAAGAAGCCAACAAAGCAGCCCTGAGCTCATATCCCTGCTGGAAAATGAGCATCACACCTCAGCCCTGGCCTCTCTCCAGCCATTCCTGAGCATCCCCTCCCCTGCCACTCTCTGCTGATTTATCCCTCACCTCCCTCAGCTGCCACCAGAGGTAGGAGAAGCAAACCAGAGCTCACTTACATTTTTGCCAGTGCATTCTGTGCTGGGATGGAGCTTTTCCCCCCCTTCCTGGCTGAGGATAACTCTGCTCCGTGTGTGTGTGTGCGTGGCTCCTGGGTGGGGATGTGACAAGTGAGGGTCAGGATGTTTCTTTCAGCTTTTTAAAAGCGCCGTGTTCCCGCTGAGCCCGGTGACATCATCACCCCTCCAACCACAGCCACTTCTACATTTTCCCTTTGCTCTCTGCTGCTTCTTCTTCTTCTTCTTCTTCTTCTCCTCCTCCTTCCCCACGCTCAGCAGCTCCTCTGAGATGTTCTGCACAAAAAAGGTGTCACCAAGCTGGGTTTGAACAGCCCAAGGTGCAACCTGCCTCTCCTGGGGTTTTCACCACAAATTTGCAAAATCAGGGCAAAAGGTTGGGCAGCAGCAAAGGGTTTTTCAGGAAGATTTCGTGGCACTGAGGATGATTTTTTTTCCTTACATTCTGCTGCTCTGGATGGCACAATTCTTGTCTTCACACAGCCAAAGCAGCCCCCCGGGCATGCCAGCCTGGCCCTTTAAATGTTCCACCCTTCTAAAACCCAGAATTGGAGTGTTTGCTGCTGCCTTATGAGAATCTCAACTCCCCGGGGCCACTAAATTTGAACTTGTGAGGAAACACCTGTAAACACTTCAAGCCCCATTAAGCCAGGGCGTCCTTCATTTAAAAAAGAAACTCCTTTTTTTTTTTCTGTTTTGTTTTTATCAAAATACAACACTTCCTACCCAGAGAGGAGCAGCCCTTCCAAAAGAGCTGGAGGAAGGCCACGGGAGCCTGGAGAACTTCTTGGCATTAATGACAGCACCATTACCATCCACACCATTAACAAAATCCTCTTCCCTCTAAAAATCAGACCCCTGGGATCAATTTTCAATTAACACTGACTTAGGAGCTTCATTCCCAGAGAAATATTTGTTGCAGTGAGGTCAGGATCTTGTCATTCCCATGCTGCTGTTCAGTTCTTAGTCATTGAATTGCCCCCAAAAATTTTCTCTCCCAATTTTTTTCTTCCCATAAAAAGAACAAGGCAGGGTCTGGTGGGGTTTTTGGCCAGGATTCTACCTAAAGGAATTTTATGCTTTCAGGTGTTTCAGGCAGCTCTTGGGAACAGATCCAGTCTGTGAACCATCCCACGACACACCAAACTGCATTTAGTGGGGAAACACAGATTAATCAGGTGAACACTTCATTGTACTCGCTCTACTTCAAAGCCTTGTCCAAAACCCAAAAGAGAAGCAAACCCCAGAGCAAGTGGAGTGGAAAGAATTAAGGGATGTGCACGTCTACCCTCCAAACCAGCCCCGAGCTCCTCTGCTCTCAGGCACCAGGGCAATGTTCAGCCACATTTTGCATATCTGAATTAGTGCTGAGTACCAGCCCCACGCTGGGACATCCTCCCTGCTGCTGAAGTGCTTAGTAACAGCTGATACTGCAAAACCAGACAGCCAGGCTGGGCCTGAGCTCCCAGCGAAGCCAAAAGCGTTGAGATTGGTTTCTCTGGAATTTCAGCCACTCCAGGGCACAAAGGAGCCGTGGGCTCTCCTATCTGTGAGATATCCCTGTTGTGTTTCTCCCCAGCCTAATGAAACTCCGCTTCAGAGAGCCCCTGCACGTGTAGAATTAAGATAATGCAGCAGCACAATCTCTTCCTGACAAATCCAAGCTGAAAGCCAGGGCCCTGAAGGACAGGGCAATGCCAGGGAGCTCTGGGGGAACTTCTGGAGTTTGGCTGGAGCCAAATTTAGGAGGGTTTGAAGTGTTCTCTGCTGAAGTTTTTTTTTGTGGAAACCCCTGGATTCGGACAGCACAGAGCTACTGGGACAGAGCAAAGCCCAGGGTGGAAAGCTGACCACAGCTGCAAGAATATCTTTGTCCCCATTTCCTTTTGCTTTTCGTGTTCCCTAGCAGTACAAATTTTCAGTGAAATCCTTTGTGCTTGGCTGTCTGGCCTGTTGGAGGGGCTGTGTGGGGAGAAGAATCTCCTTGGCAATGTTTGTCAGTCCTGAGCTTTCTGTTCCTGGAATATTCACTGCTGGGCAGCACACTGAAATCATCAATTAGCAGGATCCAAACAGAATTGCCCATTCTCAATTTATTCACGTTTATTGCTTTTCCTACTTACCAGATCACTTTATTTTTCCTCCTAGCTGGCCAGAGCCTGAGTTCAAGGGCTCAGGCAGGACTCTGGGCTGCTTTTTCACCCTGAGAATTCCCTCTGTGCACACCTGGGCTCTGCAGAGCAGCAGCAGCGCAGGCTGAGGTCTGTACACAGCAGCTGAAGGCAGATTGCTTCACAGCCCAAAGTAAATATACAGACTCATAGTAAAAGAATCTATATGTGCTTATCATCCTGCCCTTAACTGTGCTTTAATTGAGCTTAGAAAAGCTGTGGGTAACATTAAATAACTCAGGATTAAACCGGTTTTGAGGTCTTTACATCGATACTTTAAAAATACAGAGCCAGGCAGATAAAGTCTTATTGTAATAAACATCTAAAATGAGGAAGTTGCAGAAAAGGGGCATGTTTTCCTCAGATAAAACTGTTTTGGTGGCTGATAATCATCCATTTCCATATTTTACACATGGTTTCTAGATTAACTTTTGAAGTGCTTAACAAAGAATCGCTCTCCAAAATGTAATTTCAATTGTACATTAAGATATAAAGCACCACATCACCCCACACCAAGCAAAGTAAAAATATTAATTTTTCCTCCTTTAATGCATTTTATAAATGCAATTTAGTTAAGCATCATTTATTTATGAGGTGAAAAGGAAGAGACAAAAGTAGAGAGAAAGATCAAAAACATCGTATTTGCCTCTTCCTCCGAAAACTCCGCAATTCATGATTCAGGTTTATAAATGTGAACATGAATGTTTATAAACTATCAACTTCAGGTGTATAAATAACTCCGGAGCCTCAAAACTGTTGCAGACCATCCATCCTTCCCTTTTTTTTAATGGCAAATGCTTTCTCCACCCTCATCCCTCCTGCTGCTGCCTCTCCTCAGCACAGCAGTGCAGAGGAAGGGTGGAGTGATGGAGAGAAAACAGATTTTTGGTGATTTTTGCAGCTAAGCTCTCTGAAAAATCTGTGTTTATACTCTGAGCTGATGCTGCTCCTAAGGGGAACTAAAACCAAGAGCTGGCCCTGCTCAGTCTGGTCTGGCCCTGCAAGAATTTTGAGTGACAAACAGAAATATCCTGATGATTTTCAGTCTGAACCTGATCTTTAATTCACCTCCTCATCTCTTTGGTGTTGTCTCACCGGCCCAGCTCCAGGGAATCAGTGATTTTCTCCCCGAAGTGGATTAATGCTGTTGACAGAAGCGTTGGGTTTTGTTGTTGTCGTGGGGTGTGGGGTTTATTTTCCTTTGTTTTTAAACAAGTCAATATTAGCATTTCAGTCTTCATGAGAGGTAGGAATATATAAGGAGTAGTTTGATATTTCAGAAAGCTTTGTGGTCTGCAAGCACAAACATTTACCTTTGAGAACACAAAACCTAAATTAATAAGTGGATCTTTGGATGGGTTTAGAGGACAACCATGCCTAGAAAAGTTCTCATACTCCTTTCCTAATCAGGAGAGAGAATAGAGGAAATGGAAATCTGAGCCTCACTGAAGGCATCAAAACCTGACATAAGACCGGGAAAGATTTGTTATTTCAGATCACAGATTCTACAATCTGTGTCTTTACTTTGTAGCTTGATATTGAAAGGGAAAATACTGCAGGGAACCAGCCAGAACCAGAGCTCAGAGGGGCTGGAAGTGTTCCAGGCAGCTGATGCAAAGGCCATGCCCTGATTTAGGAACATCACTGTGCCCTGGGGGGCTCCCAAGCAGAGCTCACCCAAATCCCAGCCCTCAGCTCTCCTGGCAGGTCTAAACCAGGCTCCTCTGGAGCTGGTGAGGTGATCAGACAGCAAAAGTGCTTTGCTCAAAGTCACCCAAGAAATCTGTTCTAGGGCCAGGAGCAGAGGCCAGATTTTGGGGCCAGCCTTGTGAGCAAGGTCCTGCTGATCCTGAGCTTCCCAAGAAGTGCGTCACCCTTATTTTCAGCGCCATAATTAACACCGAAACGAGCGTGGAGCAACAAACTCAGTTTTGTTGGGTTTTTTTCTTCTTCTTCTTTCGTTTTTTGATGTCGATATCAGCCTCACACCTCCCACTGCGCCCTCTGAAACGAGTTCTGATTCATTCCTCAGCTTTGATAAGGAACAAATGATGCAGCCCTGGGGTGTGCTCAGCACTGGAGACGAAGTCCTTGGGCAGAATAAACCACCAGAGCCCTCTCAGGCAGCCAGGACCCGACCCTGGCACATTCCACATCCCCTCCAGGGTAATTACATGGATCTTTTCACACAATTAATTATCCTTCACGTCAGGCACAAAGGAAATAATATGAATTTTTAAGGGGGAAACCCTTCAGAACTCTGCCCGAGTTCAGATATTTCTAAACATCCTCAAGAAAATTCTGAGCTCTGGAGTAAAAAGTTCTAGAGTAAAGAGAAAATAAAAAAATATCCAACTCAACCATACTTGTCTGCACTCAGAGAGGTGAAAATTTCTCATCAGCAACTACTTGTGGGGTTTTTAACACACACCAAGTACTAGAAGAGTTTTTCCCAGGATTTTTTATCCTTAGGAAATTATCTGAGCTCCAAGATGCGACTGCTTCACCCCCTCAAAAAAAAAAACAAAACCCAGATGGACACAGAACTACCCCAGCACTTCTTAAAGATTTAAGAACATAGAAATGTTTAAGAATATAGAAATATTTAGGAGTATAGAAATATTTAAAAGTACAGAAATATTTAAGAATATAAGAATATTTAGGAGCACAGAAGTATTTAAGAATATAGAAATATTTAAGAACATAGAAATATTTGAGAATATAGAAATATTTAAGAATATAAAAATATTTAAGAATATAAGAATATTTAGGAGCACAGAAGTATTTAAGAATATAGAAATATTTAAGAACATAGAAATATTTGAGAATATAGAAATATTTAAGAATATAAAAATATTTAAGAATATAAGAATATTTAAGAGCATAG